AAAATAACACATTTGGATGAGAAGGTTAGCTACACATAGTTGTAATATGCAAATATGAGTTCATGTGCAGAAAATTTCTCCTATATGTAACATTACTTTTTCTCATAGTTTATAATGAAATCCTTTTTACCATAAATGAAATTGGTAGTCACCTGCTTCCATCTCTGCAGAGTGAATATCCCACACAGAATCTCGACTTTCCTGTGTCTTTATCTTAAATCATTTACTTTCATCTGATTTGGTTTTAATTTAAAAGTTCTTTGGGGATGGGAACAGACAGACTGCAGAATGGTGGAAAATGCAGATTATGAAGAATTAAACATACTATTTTCCCACTTTCAGCTATTCGTAACTCTCAGTGGAAGTAGAAGGAAAAAATAATTCTGAAAAATGAAAGAAATAGTATCTGTGTGCATGTGTGTATGCTTTTCATAAGTTGTAAACCTGTGATACTGGTAGGGGCTGGTGTAAGAAAAATGTGGGTTTATGGGCAAATGATTTGGACCAGTGGGTCTCAAAGTCAGTTCTAGACCCAATAGTGGTAATGTGTGGGCATTGGTGAGAAATGAAAATTCTTGGACTTATCCTTGAGTCTACTGAGTTAGAAAGTCTGGGATGAAGCCCAGAAGTCTCCAGATAATTCTGACGTATGCATCAGTTTGGGAAACATTGACTGAGATAATATGATGAATAAATGCAGGTAAACATGTTTTTCACATGTGAAGTTGGATTGAATATTTAAGCAACTGTAAGAAACAGTTCCACCTGCTATGACAATACATTTTTAGAAAAGCTAGAACTGGTATATCAGAAATCTGTAACCAGCAGACAAAATCCATTCTCCTAAGAAAAAAGCACTAGTCATTTGGTGGTTAGAGCAATGATGACCAAACACAGTACAGATTTAGTATGTGGTATTTCAAAAATTAATCATCCTTCATTAATCATGGGAGAGGGATGAAACGTCTAACTTGGCATATAAAAAATAAAGATGTAAAACTGAGTGGAGTATACTTTATTCTGCAAGAATTAAAAAGCATTAGTTTTGTACTGGAAGCACCTTCACACACAAGCATCTCTCTTTTAAGCAATGATTTATAAACATGGCTCGGAAGCACTGAAAAAAGCAATTGCAAGGATTCTGAAATTCCTCGTCACATTTCATTCCAAGTTTTGTGTGTCGTTTTCTTGAATCAGTTACTGGATTGATTGTCCCAACAAACCAAAAGATGTGACATCACCAAATTCAGCTTTTGATAAGTAGGGTAAGTTGGAAGTTATATAAAGAAGAAACATAATTTATGTATATATGCATATGTTTATGTAAATTCGTTCAAGTAGAAAAATCCTTAAGTGGCATCTGTGAAAGCCAAAATTGTAGTTTTAAATCTTCCCTCTCCTCTCTCTTATTGCAAAAACAAAGACCAAGACCAAAATGAGTATTAACTGTGGCTACTCACTAGGTTTAAATCTCTGTAACGTGGCAAGAATGTTTGCTACATGAAGGTTTAGTAAGAATTTCTTAAATTCATGGGACTACTGGGTACACGTTTTTAAAGAAATAAATGGCCTGAGTGTAACACTAAGCCATCTGAAAGACTTTGGTGGAGTTTTATTACTCTGCCCTGTGTTGTAAGCATAAAGTTCAACGTGAAATCAATTCTGGGGCCTGTCATTATCTCTCATGTACATTGCTAATCTTCTCTGCTCTCCACAGCCCAGCTCCTCACTTTTCAGCATCTCAGCAGGGCCCACATCTCTGGATGAAGAGACAATGAACATAGAGCTTTTTCTTTATCAGAAAAAAGTTTGCTGAATCCGCCTCTATTATTCTTGCATAATAATAGGCAGATGGAAGAACTTTTTTGAAAAAATTGCAATGATCCACTGGCTTGTGTTCA